ATGCAATTGTGTGAGCGTCGAAAACTCCGAGCGTCGCATTTTACAATGACTGAACGAGTCGAGCAGGGAATTTGTATTAAATTTTGCCAAAAACTTGGCACTCTTTTAAGCAACTCAGGATCTTTGTCGATAAACCCCAGGATGTCTTTGACAATTTGACCTCGAGAATTCTTTTGTTCTTCCGTAGGCACTCATTGGAACGAATTTTGTGAAATGCGACGCTCGGAATTTTCGACGCTCACACAACTGCGTACCGTTGCCGACTGAACAGCTGTTGGGTCGTGCCGCTTAGCGATACTCCTAAAGGTCCATCCTAAATACTGAATACCTGTTTTCCACAATAGGATGTCCAAGGATAAAGATATATGCAGAGGTCGGATACTTTTGGGACACACCTCGTACACTTACATAATGCATAAGTGCGCCTCGAGTTTATTCATTTTTAAAAAATCACGCGGATACGTTCGCTCAAAGTTTTATAATAAAATGAACTAATCTCATGGAACGAATCGGAACATTACACATTTAACGTACGACGTCCGTCGGGCGAACGCTATTTGTACCTCATTTCGAGAACTTTTCACCTGGCCCTCGTAAGTAGACACTTCGCTTCTCTGCCATAAACGCAGGAAAGAGACACGCGCGTCTCGCGAACGCCATAAAAGATATCCAAATAATCCGAGCGCCGTCCGACCCGGTCACGTGCGTCAGTTTACAAGCTACAAATCAACCCGCGTAGCGATACGAAAATTAATCGTCATCGCTCGCGATCTGCAATTTACCCCGTGAAAGAAGTGGCCCTTTGAAAAAAAAAAAGAGAAAAGACAAATTACGAAGATCAATCGCGAGGATTAGAAGGGAAGGATCGACCGTGCCCTATCATCACACCTGTCCGCAACCCGCTCCGTCTTGCTGACCGTAGAAAAAAAAGACATTCCGCCTCCCACGATTTGTCAAAGGGAGGGAACGGGGGACGAATCACCCGGATGCTGCCGGTCGGCGATCCCGAAGGGTACGGGGGGCGCCCGGTGCGCGCGCGCGCGAGAAGGTGGGCGGATGGCCGAATAGGTGGAAAACAGAAATCGCAGGTAAGAGCTGGACGCGGTCTCGTACAAAGACGCAGGGCGACGCAAGGCGACGCAAGGCGACGGCGACGCGATCGTGAGTGGGAGAGGAAAAGGCGGCGGCGCGGCGGGTTTAGTTCGCGCGTCGCACCGAGGCCGCCGAGGGGGGCTCCGTCGTCGCAGGTGAAACGCTCTCTCAGGAGAACGGACTCAGTCGTGGCCGCGCGATCGCGCTTAGACGATATTTACCTGCTTGCGCGCGGCAGATCCCGGCAGGAGCGTATACCGCCCGCACGCCAGCTCTCCCCCGGGAGCCCCCCCTCGGAAGCGGGCCCGCAGGCACGCACGCACGCACGCAACGCACGGCGGTAACGCCTACGAGGTAGGAGAACCCGCGTGTTATACTTCATAAACGGCACGCTGGAGACGAGCCGCGATCACCGTCGGAGGTCCGTCGCGAGGCGTCCACGCCGGGAACCGACCGGCGAGGAACGGCACGAAGTTGATCCTCCGGCGCTCCGACCTGGGCGAGCTTCCTCCAGCGAGCGGCCGGTCGTACGCGCGACTTGGAGAACCGCGGAGGAAGAGAGCGGGCGAGTTTCCGCGAGTCGAGCCCGCGCGTGACGCTCGGTCTCGCGCGCTCGCTTTTCAGCGTTCGCCTGTCACGCCGAGCGGTGATCTCAACGCTGACAACGGCGAGCGAATCGAGGTCGAGCGAGAGTTTCCGACACGGTGCGTGACTCGCGGCTCGCCGCGGAGAATTCGACGGGGTCGTCGGACTGTCAGCGCGAATAGACGCGCTCATTAGACTCCGGACGGGGAAGAACCCGGAGAGCCGTAGGGCAGCCCCCGGTAGCAATTTTGCGAGCGCGAGTGAGCCGCGCGCGCGAGCGAGCGCGCCTCGGTGCCCCGCACGCTATAGGCGTTTCCCGCTCGCGTAGAAAACTCGTTGACCTTCGCGCCTGCCGACGTTGCAGGAGTACGAAAGCGAGCGGGCAGTCTCCGGCTGAAAAGTCTCCCCGTCTCGCTCATTTCGGCAGTCCCCCTGTCCCCCCGCGCCGAGAAGCAATATCCGTCGTTGAAGGACGCGCTAATTAACGCGGAACACTTCCGGAGGTACCGCACCTTTCTTCTTTGCGAGAACCGCGACTGGACGTTTCGTGCAATTTGCGTCCATTTCGTTTGAAAAGCGCGCCCGAAATTCAAAGGCGGAAACGCGACGGTCCGCCCGCGTAAAGAAAAATTGGACGCTCGAGACGCTCGAGGACGCATAATGGGGGGTGCCGCGCATTCCTTTCTCCTTTATCCTCGCGGGGGGTATCCAATACTCGCGGCAAGTGTATCGACCTTTCGCCAGATACCGCCGTAACGGACCGCGGATGCGGGACGTTCGTTCCTCTGGTCTCAAGGTTTCGATCTGGGGGCACGGAGTGCCGCGTGCCCCGTGCGATACCGCATTCACGCGTACCTTCCGTTTAACGTCGGATAAGCTTCGCGTGTTCGACGCGTTCGCCCGAATTCTCAAAGACTACGTTTCCACCGGGGGGTCAGAGTCGGGTTAGAGTCGGGTTAGAATCGGATTGGGGTGAGCGCTCCTGCGGTGGAAACCCCAAACTCGTACCTGAACCCTACCTTACAAACTTTTAAGGTTAATGAGGTACGGTGGAAATGACAAGAGTCTCTTGTTAGGTTCCTGTAGTGTTGCCAACAGGTTAAAAAGTAATAAGTAGCCTTTTGATTTACCTCGATTCTGTTTTACCTTAAAATTTTATAAGGTAGGGCTTAGGGTAGCGTTTAGGTTTGAATTTGGTGTTTCCGCCGAAGCGCTCACCCCAACCCGATTCTGACCCTTGGTGGAGATGTAGTCAAGGGCGGCAGTGCGAATCGCGATTCTACGCTTATCCGCGAGGCGAGCTTGAATTTGATCGTCTATCCGCAAACTCGACGGTTCAAGTTTAACTCGAGGCTCAGAATAAATTCTAGGAAGCGAGATTCCGTATGCAATTCTACTTCGCCCAAGTCTGTTTCGCGAAAACAAGCCAGCGGAAATAAAAACGACGTATTTCGGGGAAATGAGTCACTTTACAGGCGCCACGCGAGTGATATTAAAATAGTTTGTATTGCGTGGCAGATAAGGCGGTATCGGTATCGATGTAAATTAGGGAACTGCAAGTAGGCATTGTCCGGCGGTTTCACGCAAGGACGTGGATCGCGGTGCGCTCGATCGATGTCGCAGGTGTTTTAAAGAATTCTCGGTGAGTTCCGTTTGATTGGCGGCGCCCCGTCAGTACGGTAATCGATCAATGGATCGATAATCAACGTTTGCACTTTCAAACGTGCAGTCCGTGCGCTTCGTATGGCTCGCGCCAACGGCTTCGTATATTCAACGGTGATGGATGAATCGAGCATCGATGTCGTTGAAAAGACCGCGATGATCCAAGCGGGATCCATAGAAAAGCAAACGGATTTGATAGACGCTCGAGAGTACGAGCGACGCCACGTGAAAAGATTCGACGATCATCAAGTCCGAGTATACAGTATCGGAGAAGAGACGTTGGGAAAAGTTTTCGGCGTGTCCTCTCGACAGTTTCTGAAGAACGACGAAAAAGTTTCTACCGATTGACATCTTTTGTCTCGCTCAGCAAACGGCGATATATTTTCTTAATTAAACTTTTTTTAACTATTTTATTGCGATATCACTTAGAGTTTCGAGTTTTGGCTATTACTGCGGTCTCATTTTTCGTGTATAACTGCAAAAGTTAATCTTACTATTCGGGTTAGTATTGTTTTTCGTGTGATTTGAGAGAAGAAGAAAAGTGTTGAATGAATGTATTGTAGAACGAAATTAAATGTGCACACGGGGAGAATTTTTTCTTAAAATTTCACGAGAGTTTCTTGACACTTTACCACACATTTTACCAGTAATTATACTGGGTATACATTTTACTAGTAGAATGTACGGTTAAGTTTCAAAAAACTCTCATAAAAGTCTTCAAAATGCCACGATTACACGATGTTCATAAATTTCAAGAGAAAATTCCCTCCGCGTGGCAATCATATTAATTGGTCGTTACTTTCCGTCTTGGTAAAATCGCGCGGGTTCTCGTCGAGACGCCCGAGAGAAAAGACGCGTCGAGCGCGGAGGAGGAAAGCGTGGAAAACGTCGCGCTACGCCACTGGCATCCGCTACCGCGCGAGAGGTGCGCGACGTACGCGACGGGCGCGTGTCTCGGCTTCTACGCGGAACAGGATACGCACGGCCACGCATCCGAGGGAACGCCGCGCGCTTCACCCGCGGCGCCGTATCGATTTTCGAATTAGTCGCTCGAGAAAATTTTACTATGCAGCTGAAAAGACAGAGAGACAGAGAGAGAAAGGGAGGAGGGAGAGGGACGTTAATCAGGAGCGATACGCTCACGCGATGATCCTCGGCGAAGGGACGCGTTCCAGCACGCGTTACAGCATGCCTTCCAGCACGCTCTGTTCGAAATTCCAGTTTCCTCGCTGTCCGTCTATCGCTCGGCCGATTCGCCGCGCGATTCACGCGGAGCGCGAAATTTACGATAATGACAGTGTAAAACCTCGCGTCCGCGAGCGCGTAGGTCGACACGTGGGGATCGTTTTTGCTGCCCGTCGATTAGGGCACCGAGCGCGATCGCGGTTCGCCTTAAGCCTATCATACAATGCCAGGCAATAGGGATAGGGAATAGAATTTTTGACGCGTTGGATTCACCGGAAATTTTCTTCCAACCAGTCGAACGCGTCAGAAATTCTATTCCCTGTTCCTGTTGCCGGTTGCCAGGAATTGTGTTTGGGCCTTCATCTTCACCATAGCGGCATTTCAATGCGATGGCCGACGTCGCTATGTCCCCCCTACTTTACAATTGTTGGCTGACACTATCCCAGGAATCCGAATTGGATCTAACCTCTGGCCCT